GAGAAATGCCATTTATGGCCTGGCATTTCCTTCAGCGAGACAGGACACGCTTCTCCAAATCCAGAGATTTCAGCCCACCAGCTGCCAGTGGGGAGAAAACTGGCCCAGCTGTAGATGTAACCCAGGTACGGCTGCCACAGGTACCCACAGATTTCTCTGGGGCATCTGGAAGCTGTTACTTACTCGGCACCACTGTCCCATGTCATTATCACTTCTCATGTGCAATGCATCCTCTGTTGCTTGCTGCAGCCCTGGAGAAACCAGGAGCACAAATGTCCTGTCCCATCATTGAATAGTGTTAGGTTATGTGATTGATGGCTCATCCCCATGAGCACGAAGGAGCAGAGGCACCATGACGGGCAGGGGAACCCCCACAACCTCCCCAGAGGTGGCTGAGCCCCTCACGGGGCTGCTCCCAAGGCTGTCACAGGGAGCCCAGCCGCACGGTCAGTGGGAGAGGGTCCCCACCAGCATGCAGGGGCTCACAGGGCAGATGGCTGGCATTGTGTTTTCTGTCTGTATTGATCGGCACGGCCGATGCACGCGTGTCTGCACGTCTGTCTGTCTACGGGACTACATGCTCAGCCTCGCCGCTGGCTGGGTGCTGGTACCCGGAGCCGTGGCAGCCTGGCCTGATCCAGCACCAGCTCTTCTCCACTACACACTGAACCTGTTTCTTTCACAGCTACAGGCATCCGAGCCGGGTCTGCCGTAACCAGCTCCACCCGAAACCTGCAGCCGAGCTGGGCTCACACGCACGGCTGCTCTAACGTGCTACGCTCTGCCCATGCCCGAATTTTAATCCCTACTCAGGCTGTGCCGCAGGGATTTACCACCACGGGTCAGCACCAGCGGAGAGCATTTCAGACCGTATCCTGTTTTCTAGCACAGACTAAAAGCTCTAAAAGAGCCAGAAATGGGAAGGCGAAAGCTCCGCTGTACCTGAGCAGACGTAAGGAAGGTTGTACCAAGTCTGTTCAAAACCCTTTTTATCCTTTCTCATCTCTCACAGATGCCAGAGATGCGCCGTGCTGCCCATTTGGGGAAGAAGGCATCGTGCTATGAAGGGGTTAGGACGGCACAGGGGTGGTTACGCTGGCCGGACTGAGATAACACCGCCCGTGGAAGAACACAAGCAGTGTTAGTGCTCAGTATAATGTTGCTGCTGCTGGGCTGAGGTCAAGGGAGCTCCCGAACTGTGGAGGGGGACCCCAGAGATACTTCTCTGAGCACAAGGCCACAGCTTTAGAGAAATGTTTCACATAAACAAACTGTTTAACTTCCCCCCCCCCAAAAAAAACCAAACCCAAACCACCAACCAGGAAGCAGTGGCCAGTAGATTAGAAAGTAAATCTCAGGGTTACTTTTAATGCCTGTTGCTTGATGTATGGACCGTGCTTCTTGTTGCTTTCCTGGCAGTGCAACAGGGAGAGAAAGAGCATGGAAGCACTACAGCCCACAGATCTACACAGCCCCCCCCAGAGGTAACAGCCCCCCTCCCTGCCCATGATGCAGGAAATCCCCTTTCCCATCTTTTCAGCTCATTTGAGGAGACATCACCTATAGCAGTTGCAGCCTCTTCTGAATGTTTCTATTTGATACCTCAGTGACTCAGCTTGAGCAGCTTTTCTCCTTTTTCCTCCCAAGGAATGAGGATTTTGTCTACCTTATCTTTGTATAGCACATCATCCTCTGTGAGGGCAAAAAGAAGTCGGGCTGTAGGGAATCTCCTCCCTGCCCTAGCCCGGACCTGTGAGCAGGGGAAGCACTACCACTTTCACTGCCGCTTTTTTGGACACGGCCTTTTCAACTTGCCTCCAACTGGGATGTGAATTAAGTTCAGACACAGCTGCCTGCAGCCAAAAAAGGTGAACTTCAGGTTTAGGAGTTTTTCTGTCCAAGAGGTAACAAACTGCCTGGAGAACCTGCCTTTTCCTCTGCCCCGTTGACAGCTTGCAGTCCAGGCGATGCAAACTTCCCCTGGCAGAAGAGGATGCAGTGATGTGGGAAGGTGAGGCACCTCCTTCATCACACAAGATGCCACAATAATGGCAACAGGGACTGCTGGCTCCTGTGCTCAGCTCCTCTGCCCAGAACAGAGGCCAGTAGGACCCCAAACCCAACTGAGGTTTAAGGGGTGCAGGGAAGGGATGAGACCTATAGCCACAGAGCAGCAGACACTCAGAGAAGCAGAGGGGCCAACAAGACCATGATTCTGGCCAGGCTTCCCTCATAACAGCGAATGGAAGGGGATCTTTTAGCCCCAGAAATCAGAAGGCAGCACCACCCCTCCGAACCCCCCAAAACTTGTGAATTAAACAGAGGCCTGTTTCTACCCCAAACTGCAAGCATGTGTCAAACTAGACTTTAAAAACAGAGGGGGAAAAAGTCCATTCTGATTTTCTCACTTTTGAGGGGAGAGAGACAGAAGAGAGCCACTGACTCCCATGTTTTCACAGAGAAAGGAAATGCTTAATGCTTTTAGAAAGAGTTACCCATAAATCTTTATTTGGACAAGGAAGTAACTATACGTTTAACTAGTTTTGATGCTTTGTGTGTCATTGCACAATAATTCATACTTACACTGGGATGTGCATCATTAACTGTTAAGTTCCACTTTACATTCAGAAATACATTCAGTGGCTTGAAGAAAAAGGAAAGAAAAAAATCAGTGCAAACAAGGTGTGTCAGAAAGTGGTATAAAATACAATTTATTTGCAAATCATTTTGACAATAAGGAAACAAGTATCTTCGAGCTGTGCATTTTGGGGATTACACGTCAGGTCGTTTGCCTTCCAAGATCTCCATTTGCATGCACTATGGGATACCTCTAAAATTCAAGATGAACTTTGAAGGGTCCTTCCCCCTCCCCCCCGCCTTGATGTGCTAAATAAATAATTCCTTCCACAAGGGCACTACAGGAAAGTCAAAGTCTTTGTAATGAGAAGCTGTAACAGGAAACACACAATGAAACCACCTTGGCTTAGAAAGAAAACTGTGGCACGAAAGCTGTTTCACATTTGTTTAACTGTTTTAAGCACTCCAAGGTTCCCACAAGGAGAAGTGTCTGGTGCTGTACCTAAAAAAACCGAAACAAAACCCCAAGAAAACACCAAAACTCCAACACCAACATTTACCCCTAAACCTCACAGCTATACTGAAACCTCAGATTTCCTTCTGATGTAAGAATACACAGTACACAAATTCCCTCTCTTGGAAGTTAAAGAGCTGTGTCTCATGTAAAAGAAGTTCAAGATCTAATAATAATTACTGTATATAAATGAACTCAGGACAAAGGCAATACAAAGTGAGAATGGATTTACCTTATCCCCTGTGGGACTGTGGGAGGATAACCTCTAAATTATGGTTAGTCACAGCTGTTGAAGACAGCAGTATCTTCAGAACACTTCTTCAATTTATTTCCACCCTTCTCCCAACCTCACTCCAAGTCTTTCAAAGAGCCAGGAAATTTCAACTCTGAAGTCATTCTTTGACTTAGATGAGATAGGAAGTGTATTTGGAAAACCCTGTATGACTAAGTTCTTAGCAGCTCACATTAAGGATACCTTGTTTTAGGGGAAAGTCCAAAGGGAACACCAGGAAACAAAGTAATAGCTACTCAGAGACGAAATCAAGGAGTCTGAACTAGATCTATTTTTAATACAGTTCTAGAAAGTATTTTTTTTATAACAAAGAGGGACTTTCTTTTTCCTTTTTATGAGGCTCAAAATAATCCAAATATTCGACCCTGGAAAAATAAATTTCTTCCCCTCTCCCATAAATACAGTAATGCAAGAAAATATGTTTAGATGTCATTGTCACCAATTCAAATAAGGCATTAATGAATGCATCATATCATTCAAATGTAAATAACAGGTTATATATATGCCCAAAATATTAAAATAACCTTATAAGGGTAACAATTATTGTATTAGTAAAACTCATTTCATTTAATTATTCAGGCAACAAAAACTGGAGAGAACGATAGAATCTTAGAGACATTATTTTATTTTCATCTAACTTTAGAAAGACTAAAACAGGACCAAACTGAAAACTCTTCATCATCAGTCCACAGGCTACCCATCTGCAGGGGTGTCCCTACCCCTTCTGGGGAACCCAGTCCACCTGTATGGAACACATATACTTGGTCATTTCACATCAACCATTATTGAAAAGATCCCGAGAGCAAGGCCCTGAATCCAGGAATCTCTTCAAGCTGAATGCCCTTGGTGACATCAGACTGCCTCCTGAACAAGCTCAAAACTGAGAAAGTAGGAGAGAAAGATTTCAGAACAAATCTTCCATTGACAAAATTTGCCCTCTTCAATCCCAACTCAGCCATCTTCAGAGAACAGCAAGAATTTACATTAAACTCCATTGGATATGCTCTCCCATTAGACAGCTTTACTCTAAGCCACGTGTATCCCCGTATTTGTGGTGTAGTCAAATGTAAATACAAGTTGAGGTTTATTAAGTTCTGGTTTGGGCAACAGAGATGCACTGCAGCAATTAAGCTGATACATTCTGTATCAGCCCCTAGATTTCATGGTTTTAGCAGTATTTTTGCACAAAAAAGTTCATCATCTGTTCCCAAGTTTGGAAAATTCCTACCCTGAAAATCCACTATTTGCTGAGGAAGTGTCGTATTTACTGAGAATGTGAATTAACTCTGAGTGTACCATCTTTAACGACAACACTTTAAAAAGACCCCAAGCAGTCTTACAAGTTTTGTTCTCTTACATATCCAGGTCTGAAATCTAGAAATGCCCAGGGATTTTTAGAAGTCTTGTAAAAGTGATCCAGTTTTCAAATGTCACTAAAGGTTTTGGCAGAATCATGTTATATGAAATCTATAATGCACTTGCTATTACTTATAATCCAATGATCAGTTATAAGAATTATTATTGCATTTTAAGCGTAAAAATATAGGAGGTTCTATAAAGAAAATTAAAATAGCATTAATCTAATTGATAGTCATATAAAAGAACTCACAATTATGTAAGTTTCCATATTTAATTACACATTTAAAAATAAGTTATAAAAATAATTAAGTTTCTTTAAAACCCCTACAATATTTTCTTTTAGGAGTTTTTACTCATATCTACTGATTGTCTAGCATCGGCAACAGCTTCTGGTACTCGAACAGTCATATCATCCATCGATTTCTTCAAGCAGATTTGGCAGCCTAAACGTGATCTGAAAAACGACGTCATTAGTTCTAGCCAGTCACATATCTAACAGCATTTACCCCTTTATGCCTCCAACATTCACCCATCCCAAATACATTATGATCTAGAAACAGCCACCCCTGTGCATGGTCTTAATCAAGACCAGTAGTGATCTGCATGCATCAGTGCAAAGGTATCTGTGACAATAATCGCAATTTACACTACGTAATACGATTCAGTACATAGGAAAGTTGTACACCAAGTACCTCCTACTTGCTGAAACAACATATAATAAGGGTGGCTCTTCCATTTCCAATGGTTCACCAATAGTTCAGTCAAGTGCATGGAATGACACCTGACCTTCCCAAGGGAGATTTGGCCCCTCTGAAGAGATGAGGGCAATGAATCTGAATGAAAACCTCAGAGAAAGCACAGCCCAACCCATCCAGGGCCTAAAGGCAGCCCAACATTTTCAAACTAAACTCAAGATGGGTCATTAAGCCAGAAAGGTAAGAGTGAAGAGACAAGAAACATAGGAAGGAGAAGGATAAAATACTCATGGCACCCGAGGGAGATCCTTCATTTTTCTACCTGTCACTCAGCATGGAAAAAACTTTGTATGTGAGCAGTTAAAAATCAAAAGATTTAATACCACCACAAAATTCCACAGACATCACAAGTCACTTTTATTGCTGGGACATCTTTTATTCAATGTCCATGCCCTGGTAGTTAAGTATAGAATACTTAACATCAGCAAGGGTAGGCAATGTTCTGTAGCACCAGTTGAATAATTCAATCAGTATAGGAATGTAGGCAGTGATTCTATAAAAAAATGGTACTACATTAGTATCTACACAGAACTTTCAAGAATGTGGTTTTACAACAAGCAACTGTTGTTAAAGCTCCCAATTCAGGACTATATCAGAAAATAATACTTCTACGTAGATGATTGTATACATCAACTTCAAATTATTAGAATGTATGTATAAATACATATATTACCAGAAGATTTAATCTCATGAATATGCATGTGTAAGAATAGCTTTAGAAATTAAATCTATTAGAGAGATGTGATATCTGATATTTATATGTAGCTTTGACTGTAAGGCTTAATTTGACTGTAGTGTCTGTTTTTCACTAAAGACCAACGCTAATCACATACGTACTCTGTAGCATGGCAGTGGATTTACTTTATGTGAAATAACACTGCCCTTTGTTTTGAGCCTGCTACACAGCAGTACAAAAAAACCTAGGCAACATTAAATAACACTGTGGAAAACAAACTACCTTCTATTCAAATTCTTCCACAGCATTTACAATTTTTAGACACTTAACCAGATTCTCCTACGCCGCAAAGCTCCAGAAGCTTGGACCCAAAAAAAAAGATCGTCTAGTCAATGCCCACATGAAAGCCATTCCATCTTTAGCCATTTCTATAGGCCTTCCTTTTATTTCCTCTCATTCCACTATTTAAAAACACCAAAAAAAAAAACCCAAGACAGGAAGTCAGAGTTGCACAAGTATAAAGATAGAGTGAATCCCAATTTTGTCATATAATAGTATTTCCTTATTTTCTACCTCTTCCTACCTAATATTGCCAATGTTCCATTTACTTATTTGAGGTATTCCTACCCTAAACCTTAAGCTGACATTCCTGGAAAGACACTGCCTAGCTGACAGCCTATTTCAAGTAAGCAAAGTTACCACCACTCTACCTACCACTCCATATGCATTTATCTGCACCTTTTAACACCAATTTTCATTTCCCATCACTCAATGGAATGAGATCCTTCTGCATGTCTTCACTGACAGTTTTTGATTTTACCATACTGAGTAACATAGCACTATACACAAACCCTACTCTTCATCTCTCTTCCCAAGTCTTTCACAAATACACTTACTACATAAAACCTAGCACTGATCACTATCAGATCATACTGTTTATCACATACTCTTACAAGGCAGCCAAATATTTCTATTCTGTTAAAACACAATTTTTTTAAACCAATTATCCTTTACAATATCCCATTGCAACTCAAAACTTAGTAAAGGATTTCTCTAGACCTAAGTAAACTATATGAACTCTTAAGATAGCCAAATACTTCTATTATGTTAAAACACAATTTTTTTAAGCCAATTACTTATCCTTTACAACATCCCATTGCAACTCAAAACTTAGTAAAGGATTTCTCTAGACCTAAGTAAACTATATGAACTCTTAAGATCTTTCTTCATGCTCAGTAACTCATTTGAAGAGCTCCCATATCTGCTACTTCCCTCTACAAAAGCTCTGTTGAATTCTTTCCTTACCATTATTTAGTAGAAACTATAAAAAATGCAACAGCCCATAGATACATGATTAATGTGTCCAATATGGAATCAGACTCACTGTTCTTCAGTTCAAGTGATCTCATTTTAAAAGGTGGGTTGTCACCTTCCATTCCTTTGATGTTGAAGCAGTCTTAAACCAACTAATTAAGCCTTACAGACAGTAGTTCAGAAATGTCATATTGAATTCCTGTAGAACTCCTGGGTGAATGCTACCTACTCATTACTGTTTGTGACTACTTGTTTTACTTATTCACTGTAATACTACTTCTATGGACACATCAGTTCGAGACAAATTCTCCAGACTGCCCTCTGCAAAGAAATGTTCCAGTGCATGGACATCCCATAACATCTTCAGAGACAACAATACAAAAGAAATTTTGCTTTTATGTTATCTTTTTATATTTGAAGTGCGTGTTCTGCATCAGTCATTGGGTCTTCGTGCAGACAAGTTTCCTGCTTCTGATAAGCTGAGAAACAGCTTGCTAAAAAGTACAAAAATATTTTTGTTTCCAACCTATTTTTTCTTCAGTATTCTTTTAAAATGTTTAATTTGCCAGAGTTTGTGTGCCTCCCCCATCTTACTATTTTTAATAATCTCTACTATTTTGCAGCTATTCAAAACAATTTTGTTTAAACTTTTCTAATTAGTCCCTCATTTAACAGAAAACACGTTAACTTTCATGGCAGCTGCTAGCTGAAACTTTCCTAAATCCAGAGAGTCACTGACAAGATAAAGCTTTTATCCTTGTACTAATGACAGTATAGTAGTGCATCTCCATCACACAAGTTTATATCAGCACAGAAGACCAGGTAATTGGTTTGGCCCAGAACCTAAAAATTCAGAGGAGAATTATGGTAGATGTAAAGAGTGAAGTAAATTCACACTTAATAGGCTTATGATTTTTTTCCTCCCCCCGAGATTGCAAATTTTTTGGGGGAGCAGGAAAAAGGATAAAACAAAAGAAGCTTAAACAAGTTTCTCATAGCTTGACTTCTTTGCTTTCACAGCCTCCCAGAAAAGTTAAGATTTGACTGAAGTGAGAAAAAGCATACCCTCATGCAGAAACAATTAGTACAGGATTCCCATTACCGGTACAAGGAGATACACGAGTTATGCCTCTGCAAAGGAGTACCCTGAATTAAAAAAACCCTATGCTATACAGGCCAGGTATAAAGCCCTCTGACATCACTGGAAAGATTCTCAAAAACTTTGACAAGCAGTTTCATTGAAGCATGAATGGCTTATGAAGCCTTGTAAAGCAGAGCTGTCTACTGTTCACGTGGGTATGTTCTATGACACAGGCTACGTGTACACCAGCAGGTAGTGCAGCCCACTAGGAATGGGTCTGTGATGAGGATGCGACACCCTAATTACAAGGTGTGTGATGGGGGAGATGTAGAACAGAGGATTACTTCAGACTAACACTAGTCTAACCCTGTGCACTGAAATGCCCATTAGCAGTTACAGCACACTGTGATTAGTTTTACCTAAAGGGACTCCGGCTTATGTGCTCTAAGAGTACTCTGACATGAGTCAAAGCATGACAAGTGGGGACACTGCCATGTGGGACACCAGTTATTCTAGAGAAGGCTTGAGGGGAGGATCTTATCAATGTACATAAATACCAGAGAGGTTGTGGAGTCTCCATCCTTGGAGATATTCAAAAGCTGTCTGGACATGGTCCTGGGCATCGGCTCCAGGTGGCCCTGCTTGAGCAGAGGGTTGGACCAGAAGACCTCAAGAGGTCCCCTCCAACCTCAACCCTTCTGTGATTCTGTGAAAAGAAGATCTGACCAAAACTACAATACTAATGTAAGCACATTTATAAAGTACATTAACTAGCTACAGACTAATAGAGACAGAAAACAGAAGGGAAGGGAAACAAGAACAATAAAATTCACACATGAGAGCAGCAGAAAAGTTTTTGTTGAAGGAACTGGGGTTTTGATCGTACTTCAGTATCTGACACTTCTGCATCAGACACCTCTGAAGAGCAAGTACTGATAACTGCCACTCTTCAGTTCACAAAAACAGTACGGACATCACTTTAATACGAGTTCAGATAAATAATATGTAAACTTGGCAGTCTCATTTGTGTAGCAGAATCCAGCTATGCATTATAAGCTGATTAAGGCATTTAAGAATACTGGACTGCCCCATCTGCAAACCCTTCTTTCCATTCTTCGGTGTAGTGAAGTGTTATATTGCCTTACGTTTCTGTGAGGCCATATGCAAGGTCCAACATATCCATCTCTTCATCAGTAATTGCATCTAATTTCTCAAATATGTGGTCTTCAAAGATTAAATGACAAGTTGAACAAGCTAGCGTTCCTTCACATGCACCTAAAGAAAATATATCAAGATAACAGAAAATCCAAGTTTCAAATCAGAGCAGAATTTCAGAAGAAATCCCTCATATAAGTGTTTGTCTCATACAAGTATCTGTTGATTAGTAAAATTAATGTTTCATATATTCCACATTCATGTATCTACTCTGCATTCAGCTGTCACTAGTACTTCTACAGTTCCTACAACATTAAGTAATTACGGCATTCAAGTAAATTTTAAAATACTTAACTAATTCCCTTTCTACCATTTAAAGAGAGAAAAGTTCTCTACTGTAAGAATGTAAAAGCAGATAATGCTGTCAATCAACACTACCTAATTTATTTCCACTGTTGATCCTTCTAACCCTCTCCCATGGTTTTGACAAGATTTCCTCAAGAAGTTCAACAGAAGACACTTGCTATACAAAAGATTCCTCAGAAGTACAGGAAGAAGGAATTTTATACTTGGTATTTCTTCTTACTCCACAGAACACTTAATTCACAGCAACAAAGGAAGTCAGGCTAGAGAGAGATGGTTTTCTCTGTGTTAAAGAGGTCTACAGGTATTACTAGGCAATCCAGTCCAAGCCAAGGATCTAGTAATTTGCTTGGGTTGAACAAAGCAAACAACTACCTGCTAGAGCAATTAGGTCATCCATCACAGGGCAGCAAAAGTTTGAACACTAACAAATTTGTCTCTGCTGCTGTATAGTGCTGGCACAGAGTTCACCTTGTTGAAAAAGAAACATTCAACTTCAAGAGAAGGAGAAAGCTGAACTCTTCATACTTGTGTGGAGATTGGGCACACAAATCCCCACCTCCAATTTAAATTGGTAAGAGAGAAACAGGTAAGACATTAGCCAAGTTTCATTTATTTACTCATTTCCTGGGAAAGCAAAACCAAAAGTATTGTGACCACATCACCTTTGTACTCGTATGGAAACAAAGGGAAGCAAGGCTGCACATATAACCACTGCTATGAAAAGAAACAGCAGGATTTGTCATCAGACCACAAGACCCATACAGAAAGCATCACGCTGTTACATGTAGTAACACTATCAACAGCACATATTCAAACAGAGTGTGACACTGTACTAGAAGACCTTTTTTTATGTCACATCTTCAAGTACATACAAACACATGTGAAAGTGTATTTTAAATAAAGTGGCAAATAATGTAAAATTCATTGTATCAGCAGTTTATGCATTTTAATGTTGGGGAGAAGAAAAATAAAGAGTGAACACTGACTAGCCTATTTGAACAGTGGGTGGTCTTTCTGCAACTCTAAAGCGAGCAGTAGCAAACAAATCGAGTGCAGTTGAATCGCTCAGTTTTATGTCTTTATACAAAGATATTTCTATTATTACTGCACATGGGATGCCCCCTAGTGATAGAATAAGTAAGATTTACTTTTTACATTTTCTTTCCTAAACACAGGACATACATTTTTACATTATTTATATTTCATTATTTCTCTGCCCTGGTATGATGTTTCATTAGCAAATTATTATTGAAATGGGACTAGCATATATTATAATTAAAGACTTACAGTATCTCAAATTTTTAGTTTGGCTTCTGTTTATTGACAGCAGTATCTTACACACACACTTTACCACAATGCTTTAACATGGCTGATATTTACACAAACTGAGAGAATATTTACTGTAGAATACAAGCAGACCAGCCATAAGCCTGTATCACACATATAGTAAGTGATACATTAAACTAGTTATTCCAACACATTACAGATTTAAGACAATTCTTCCCCAAATGTATGTAACTCAGTCTGAGACAACTCTTATGTCTAATGTCTGAGATTTTAAATCTTAAAGATTTTATTACTAGCAGTGAAATTTATTTACGCTTAAATAAAATACACCTCAGATTTCAAACTCTGCTACTCTAGCCTACCTTATTTTTTCCTCCAATTGCTCCATGCTATGCATGTACCCATGCAAATTGCACTTCCACTTCCTGTTTTAGTTTGTACTATTAATTCTTAAGCCCATGTTCATGTAAATACCTGTCCTGAGGTATTTAACTGCCATTACCAAATGCAACTGCTTTGCATGGGCAGAATCCTACAACTTCAATGGAACCAACCAGTGAAAGTGCAAAAGTTTGAAGGAATAGGGAGGCCTTATAACTTCCTCCTATTCTGATTTTAATCAAAACTTGTACCAAGTGAGAATTTCACTACAGCATTGGTATCCTTTACCCCAGTTCTTTAATAAGAATTAAACTTTTTGCTCTTCCCTACTAACTAGCATGGATTTGGTTGTTTCTTTCACTTAGCACTCAAATACTACAGCAATTTGTGCTACAAAAAGCCTGATAATAAATTGAGGCAGTATTATGAAAGTAACCAGACACTGCTAGAAATACACCATTTTGTGTTGCCTCCAGAACCTTTCAGCTCAGAACCTTGACTGCAATCTGTCCCCATTCCCCTCCTTTAACATCCAAGCAAGGCCCACACCAAGTATTTCTCTACAACTCGACCCAAAATATTCTATGCACCTGCAGGAAAAAAATAGGGAGAAAATCCAAAGAAAGTACAGCTAGATTTTATACATAAATATTCATTTACAGTTGAACTTGATGATCTTAAGAGTCTTTTCTAACTTAAATGATTCTATAAATATTTATGAATAAACTCGTAACAGAATATAGTTTCTAGACACTAAATACAGTATTCAGTGAATCTACTTACCAAAACCATCTATGTCTAGATTATTATCAACAACAACATCTAGCAATGAATCTCCAGGTTTTCCTTTGGCTGTTAGTTTTTCACCATCACGATTTATGAAATGGACAGTTATTTTATCTTCTGAGCTGAAAAAGAAAAGGATATAATGGAATTAAAGAAAGAATTCTAGAATTTTTTAGGTATTTAAAATTGATTGAATACTACTAAACTAGCAATTATTATCAACTCCAACAGCACAGAAAACTAAGTTATTTGCTTTTAAAAGCTCTAACAGGTACAGGCATTTACTGCTGTACACTGAATAAAGAGCCATGAAAAATAAGGAAAAAAGATTGGTTTGTGTTTTGTCACTAGAAACTACATAGGATCCTGATGTTTGCCTTTCACTGAAGGGAGCCAGAGCTCTTATTTTAGGCACAATATTGTATTTTTTACCAATAAAAGAGCTTATTTTAAATGCTTCTCTTCACACCTTTCTGTGGAATCTTGCTTCAGATTTATAAAATTTTATTTGTTCTCACCATTGTCATTTAGGACAAATCTAAAGTTTTCCCATTTCTGCTTAAGAGTTTAAGGCATTTTATTTCATTAGTTCCAAAATTTATTTCTCCTCTCCTCCCAGCAATGAAAATACTAAAATACTCCGAAAGTGTTTTGCTTGCTTTGAGCACAGATTCTCTTTGGATTTCACTTTGCAAATAATTCTAGTGAAGTTCAAAGTTTTGACATTGTCTGAAAAGCAAAGCAGAAAAACACAAAACCTTCTTTCTTTGAAGCCAATTATGTTTATTTAAGAAAAAATTCTCATGCAGATGGCATAAAAAATTCTTAAGACTTAACATGGAGAAAAAATAGAGCTTTTGGTGTTCCATATTGTTATTTCACATGTACATTAAAGGAAAGCTTCAGACTTAACATGGAGAAAAATTAGAGCTTTTGGTGTTCCATAGTGTTATTTCACATGTACATTAAAGGAAAGCTTTTAATATACTCACAAATAAAGTACAGTTTGTTTTTAAACAGACTATTTTCTTTCCTACAGTAAGTGAGCAAAACAAGAAAAACTTGTTGGATGGACAGTGGAGAAACCTACTGAGAGATACACAAATAGAACAACAGAAAGCCAATGCAAAAATCTATGTTTCAATGTGAAATCCATGTTTAAGAACAGCATGCTTAATATTACCTTTAATCTTTTTAGTAACTGTGGGCCTTGAGTATTCTATCATACAGAAAGCATACAAGCTTGAAAGAATCAGTCACCTCCTGGAAAACTCTAACCTATAGAGCTGAATATTAAAGCAAGAATTTGAAAGTGGCCATACTGAAACATCAGTAAACAGATTATTTTGGGAACTGGCTACAAAAGAAAAATGTGGGTTTAGCAATCCGAGTCCTAGCTTGTTTTGAAAAAACAACAAATGTTTGTTGCTCTAGACTTAATATACTTGCCACAACTGTAAGCTCAGTTGGCAGCAGTACACTCTGTGATTCATTATGATGTGTTCAATTCTTGTCATATCATCCCTCAGTCCATTCTCGAGAAGGCAGCCACAAGCTACTATTAACTATAAATTCATTCCAAAATGATAACCAATAATGAAGGCTTGACCTCGCTGATCTGCAGAATGCAACTGAAGCATGCACTACAATAAAATTCAGAAATCTTAAACATATATTTTTACAAAAATGTAATTAACGTTGCAGTCACTTGTGATATCAAAGGACCACCTCCAGCAAACCATTCTGTGGGGGTTTAAGTTACCACTCTGCTCTTCTTTTTGCTCCTCTGCTGTACTAACACCTCCCACAGCACAACCAAGGAAACAAGCACCCACTTCTTAGACATACTAGTAAAAAAATTCACCATCTTCACTGGTAGTTTAAGACTGCTGGGTTTAGACTGCATCTGGAAAGGTAGATTCACATTCTGACAGCCAAAGTAAACTACTGACACTATAATTTTAAACTGCTTCAAGAAGCCCTTCTAGAGTTCACCAAAATACACTCTCATTCACTGACACTGACACTGTAATTTTAAACTGCTTCAAGAAGCCCTTCCAGAGTTCACCAAAATACACTCTCATTCACTGAAATATTTCTGTCAACATGGCAAACACAACTCTGACAGGAGACATAATGCAAGATGTAGCTGCATTTATCGGCATCCTCTGGCCAAGGTATAGACATAGCAAATACTAAATGTTTGTTCAATATCCAAAACATATCCTTTCCTGTAGTATAAGATGAGGCCATCACAAGTAACACAGACAAAACAGCAAGATGTCTGGCCATCCATTACACATCACTGGAACCTTTGTAAGAGTTAAGTCATCTGCCTCGCAGTTTTCAAAGCACACATGAAACTGTCTTCACCTGTGATTACACTTTAGTCTGGTACAAGAACAGTCCTGGCCTCCCTCCTTTGGTCCTTCTATCTCCAGTGCTCACACTGTCATGAAGTAACCTGGATCTGGAAACAAAACTGGCTAAACCTCAACCTTCACAGGTCAATGGCCATATGAATATCAGAACTGGTAAACTTCATCTAATGGACGGATCTGACTGTATACATCAGTTTAAAACAATTGTGTTACTGCAACTTTATGATGCAACAACATGATCTATGCTTCATGATCAGTTTAAACCAATCTCTAACAAAAATGTGAGTTTGGGTGATCCCCACTCCAAATCACCTTGCCATCATCCACCCACAACTCATTTTGCTAGTCTGGCTGAAAAAAACCCCAACCATAAAAAACAAAGTAGTCCCAGCTGAACCAGCAAAACTGACAGAAGTGCCACTTCCCACAATAAAAATGAGGAAACAGGAACAGGATCTCCTCTTCAGAAGTAGCAATCTTACATTAGCTTCAGCCAGTTGTGGAACTGCACCGTGGCCATGCATGCCTAACTGGTGTGGCATGCAGCAAGGGGACAAAACAAAGTACCATCACTAAGTCAGTGACTTTTGTGAAAGATCGCTACAGTAATTAATCTTTTCTATGGGATCTAATCCACCCTGGTTGATAACTGAAACTAAAATGTATTTATCTGTAATGTTAGAGATAGCCTTTTTAAGTCTTCCAGTAGTATCTGGTTTTCTGCTATTGCCATCTTCACCACTCTCCACACAGCTAAAATATTAAAAAAAAAATCACTGAGACTTTATTGTGCATGAGCCCAAGTGGAGAAAATACTTTCAGAACTGTGTGTATGTAATAATCAGACTAGTCAGACATTCAAAAACACACACTGTGCAAATCTTTTCAATACTGGGAGATACTATTAAAATAATAACAATAATCACACCACTACCAAAACCTTGCCACGCAAACCCAACACACCTGCATAAAACAATATTCAGGCTTTAGAAATGTCAAGTACCATGGCTTTTGTCCACTCAGACACTGTTTGCATGAAGAAGAAAACTCAAAACAAACACCACCGTGCTGTGAACTGGTCACAGGCAATTAACATGAAACACACCAGGTCTCTGCAAGTATAAATAGCCTCAGGATTATCAGAAAGAACAGAACATATTTTGTGTAATCTGCATAAAGCATAAATATCCCAATTCATGCTCAGATGAATTTTATACCAGATACAAAATGCAATTAATTTCTTCATATGGTTGCCACAGTACTATCAGTTTTGTTATCAAGCTTCACTAGTATAGCCTAAATTAAGCAAACTGCAAACGCACAGATGAGCACCAGAGAACTGTAAGTGATGTTCATTGTCCCTTCTATGCAAAAAAAAGAATAAGTACTGCAAGAATCCTGACTGCTACCTCTTCCTCCTTAAAAGTATCCTTCTGAATCTTCAGCTATTACTTCCAAGTTAAGAACCACCTCTTACATTCTTCTAAACAAAACAAAGATAACAACTGCAGCCTGGTGTTGCACATGGCAAGACCAACTCTATTATTTCCAGATCTTTTATTAAATAGTAAATCTAACAGCCCTACCTAATTGCCTGAAGAATTTAATGAATGAAACTATTATACAGGTCTCAATCAAAATACTGAAGTTATAAGTCTGAACTAATCTTTAAAACATGTAGTAATTATGTTGTGCACCAAAAATATTGTACAGCTCTCTAAACTAGTATAAAGGAATTCTGAGATAACTACTGTTCATCATGAAATGAAAAAGAGAGAGGATAACAGATAAAAATGGAGCAAGACAAAGAATAAAACAGAAATGAAAACATAACGCCTGATGCTTCACTGAAACCCTGGGAACCTCTACTCACAAGAATCACCTCAGCTGATGATTTATATAGCTAGGTCTTTATCTTCTAGACACAAATACAGCTAATTTTACATGTACCTATCTTTTTACTGGAATGACACTGACTGACTATATAAAGTTTAGAAACTGGGTCTCAAATAGTACGATGCCCAGAAATGGTAGGACTAGAGAAAATAACTTGCACATAAATGGAGAAAACACTAGTATATAAAAGAAACAAGGATTTTTTTTTCTCCTATCTCACTCAGCCAGGTTATCACATGGAGTATATAAACAATACATTTGAAATGCTTGCTTGCGTGAGCTTTTTTGCTGGTATGCATTGCACAATGAATGTAAACAAATTCCAATCTCTATTCAGTTTGTTTGTGAAAGATCTCTGGGATTACAGGTCTTACATTACTATTAGGTAAGGAAACGTTTTCCCTTTTTAGTATTTTTTTCCTTCCATTTTTACCTTGTTCAATAATTTTAATAACTTTTTAAAATTTGACAATACTTTACAAAGACCTTTTGATTTCTGAATAACTGCTAATCAAGCACCTCAAAATAACTGGTCAGGGCGCTCACACAGAGGAGATTTATTTTTAAGACAATCAACAGAGTCACTCAGAGCAGAGATCTAAACTAGCAACTTACCTATCTCGTATGGGAGTCCTAAACTAAAAAGTTAATTTTACTCTACATATTAAAAGTATCTGCTGAAACAAAGTAAAAGAGCACCTACAGGAGAGTTTAAAAGCAAACTATTCAAACAGCTTTGACTGCAAGGGTACTACCTCAATCCTCTGGAAACAGGCTAGGCTACATGCCTGATGCTGGGCAGCTGATTGCAGGTCCTGTTCCGAGTCAAAGAAACTTCTCCAGCAACCAAGTAAAAATACGGAAGTTTTAAAAGCCTAATTAAATACTGAGAGTTAACTGTAGGCTCTGACCTGTCTTTGAATAAGGAAGCTACAAGCCAGAAGGTCATGCATAAACAGAGTCTTTGACTACATGTACTAAATTGCTAATGTATAGTTGTGGGCTGTGGAATATTGTCTACAGATGTAATGCATTTTGAAACACCTACTCATACACACTGGTAAGGAGAGGAGGGGTTCTGTACAGTTAGATACAAGAGTGCTCCAGTAAAGAAAAACTATACCAAAGGCTGCACAGACCTCTGGTATTGGGCTTTCTCTGCTATGTGTTCTACTTCTACCACAAGCCTAGCCAGACTTTCACAAAAAACCAAAATAAAAAATACCAAACAAGTACTGCTCTGTATGAAAAAAGCAGCATTGATAAGGTCACGATATTTTAGAAAGCTAGTGTGAACATTAGGAAGGAACCCTAGCTTAGTTTTCCATAACATGAGCTCTGTCAACGGAGTTCCAGATCACACAGGCCCTGTGGTTTAACCACGCCGCTGGGTCGGTGCGGTGCCTAACCCGGGCCGGCCCAGAGGCACTTCCAGCTAAACCTGCCCGGCGCAGCCTTGCGGGACACAGCCTGCGAGCCCCCCGAGGGGCGCCCGGCCGACACGCTGGGGGCGGCGGGTGGAAGGTG